TTGTCACCTCCATCGTCAGGGACTCTTGTGATGTCAGCGGCATTCAGCAGAATGGCTCTTGGCTGGTCCCCGCTGGGACAGCCGGCAGCCACTTCGTGCTTGCCTGCTGGAGACGGGGCAGTCTGAGAAACTTCGGATACTAAAGCCATATTGACAAGGCTGGTCACCCGAGAAGGCACCCTTGAATGCAGTAGCCGCGAAAGCTGCAAGTCACACATAATCTGAAGAACGTTTGTGTATGTATCTTTCAGCGCTCTGATCGTTGAAATGTCAGCTAATTCCTCGTACTGCTTTGTTAACAGTCCTTGCTGTGTGAGAGGGAACATGAACAGATTTCGTAACCACCGAAAACCTTCTACCACATGTGGGAACATACTTTTTCACTGTAACTTGTATATATCATTTATCAGACCTTCACGTTCATTCAAATAACCACTCAAAACATGACGTCACAGGAGAACAACTGAAAATTATAAGTCGTGCTAGGTAAGGTAAAGTTGTTCCTGCGCTTAACTAATTAAGCACTACGCTATGAAGGCGTATGGGGGAGTGGATATATAGATCCACATTTTCTTGACCTCGGCATTAGTTGGAGATGAGTGGTCAGCTTCACGCCCCTGCCGCTTTACCCCCGGGGAAAGAGCCCCCAGTACCCATTGGATAGGAGGTTGGGTGGACCCCCAGAGCCAGTCTGGACGACTTGGAAAAAGAAAATTATTGCCCCGACCGGGACTTGAACTACGACATCTTGGTCGTCCAGTGCTATCCCGGCTCTGTACTAGGTACTGCATTATTTCAACGTTTTCGCCGAGGTCGGTGTCCTTGTGAGCGCAAGAGAATACACCACTGACTTTTACAATGCAGAAGATATGCATGTGTTGTCGAATGATGCGCCGAGACTACTTCACGATTAACATCATGCCAAACACTGTTAAGTACGTCTCCTATGAGAACAAACATACAGACATACACGCACACACACATATATATCAAGCTGGCGTCGGGCGATATGCAACTAATACAGCGTCGTAAAGTAAGTGAATAAAAATGATATTTAAGATTTGAGGTTTTCGCGGCGGTGACTAAGAAGAAAGCAGTCTTCTGGGATGTGGCGCCGTGTAGCTATTTTATTAACCGACGATTCGGAGTAACGTATCGCCTCCATCTTCAGACTAGTTAGTCTGTTAGCACCTACTCACGCTGGTTCCTCGTTCGCGGATCTTTTTTTCTTCGACCCTGAAAATGGAGGCGTTTTCCTCCGAAACTTCGGTTAACACAATATCTACATGGCGCCACATCCCAGAAAACTGCTTTCTTAAACAATGCTATTCGTAATGTGGTGTGCAAGAGGGATAGTGTGGCAATATGGCCATTTGAAAGAAAATGACGTTATATCCCTAGCTTAGCGTCAAATCAACTGTTATATTTAATCAAAACAATCAGCATGAAAAACAAATTTGAAACCCAATTTTATGAAAGGTGAAATATAAACTAGACAAAAATCAAGAAAGCACAATACGCTTTTCTATATACGGTATAACTCCAGTCTTTTGCAACTAGAAATATCGCACTTCTCCAAACCAGATATTGTCCCAGACATAATGAGTATACCGTTATAATTCCTTTCGCGGAACACCCATTTGTGATAACTGGGTGAGCCGCATGAAGGTGGAGTCTGCATTATAGTAGAAGAGGATTTCTGTTGTGCAGTCTTCCGGCGTTATACAGATCGACATGGAATTCCACGGAAACCTTTTAGTGAAGAACAGAATGACGTAATCTACACGTCGAGTCTAACGAAATTTAGCTAACAGGTTAAAACAAACACACGAAACATAAGCACAGAGAAATACCGACACAGAATGCAATACCCCAGAAGAATGTTCTAGTCAGTAATTTGATAGAACATTTGGGAACAGACTTCTCAATTTGAATCTTCGTGTGAAAATAAAGAGAATTTGAAAGGTAACAGAATTATATGACAGTAAACAGAAGTTGTGGAGAGGAGAAAAATACCAGCTACAATTCTTCTAATACACCAATGACAAAATAAATAGAATGACCCAGGTTTAGTGGCAATTAAACTCTGTACCTGCAAATGCGTGGCAACCAGTACTGTTATGTTGTGTCTGGGTTGGTTAGGCACTATGATGAAATACAACCAGGCTTTTGGTTAGATGCCAGGAACAAGATTCTGCTGTACGTACTGTAACTTTTACCGTGATTGTAACTTTCGTTGGGCACATGCGTATATTAAGCAATATCTATTCACAAATTATTACACTTCAGATTAAGAAAAGTTATATGTTGGTAAAAAGTGAATAAACGGTATCAGCATTAAACTGTTTCATAGAAGCATCGAGAAAAGCAGGAGCCAGTCACTGGACCACATGAGTAGAAACAGTTGTCCTTTTGATGGCTTGAACACAGCATGCTACATTTAAGCAGAACATTAACATATACGAATGGGTCCAATGTAGGGCGGTTAGCTTCTTAACAACAGACCAGATACCACAAATAACTGATTTCGAGGATCGAAAAGGGCGATCCCCTCTCGAACACCTCGTAACACATGACATCCTCAATTTGGCGTATAAGGAAAGAACTGACCTTGGTAACAGCAACGCTAAGGATGTTCGGTGGATGTCACAGACTAAACATACAATTTTACTACGAAATTGATGAAAACCCGCTTACATATTGTATAGTGCGAATTATCCTCAAGGCAAAAGGAGCCGGGATAGCGTATTCGGTATAGCGACTGGCTACGGGCTGGACGACCGAGGGGTAGGCGTCCGAGTCCCGGTAGGGTCAAGAATTATCTCTTCTCCACGTCGTCCCGACTGGCTCTGGAGTCCACCCAACCTCCTATCCAATGAGTACCGGGAGCTCTTTCCCCGGGGCCTGAAGCTGACCACTCACATCAAGCTAGTGCCGAGGTCAAGAAAAAATCCACTCCTCCATAAGCCTTCATGGCGTAGTCCTCGGCGGTTCTAATTTTGAAAGCTTAAGATAAAATTGTAATCAAAGGATTCCACGAATAGCCACATATGTTCACAAAATGTTTCCCTTTCTTTGTACTTCCATACATCAATATTTTCGTGACAAAGTGCACGGGGAGGGGGTTATTTATAAGCAGGAAGCGTAATCTATTTCCGTTTCCGTTGACTCAAAGATGTACAGTTTCTTACCGCACTGTATACCTGTGAGGATGTGAAACCTGATTGAGAGTCAGCAGAAAGCCTTCTCTTTTAATACATGCTTCCGAATCTACGGGCTGAAATTGTTCATCCAGTATTCAATGGCAAGCAGATTTTCTAAAATCGGAACCCGTTAAACTTAATCTGGAAATTCGCTGCCACTTCATCTGTAGGATCACATTAAGTTTTAAGAGCACATCAAATAATCACTGCACGAATTCTGTGACAAACGTTGCAGGACTAAGAATTTTAATGAATATTTCGTCATGTCTCGTCCATACGGGGGGCGAGGGGAATTCCGAAAAGTCATGTCTTCCAGTGTTTTCTTTCTGGAACACCCAACCGCAAGCACCTTTCTTTTCAAAAAATAAAAAGTAACTGTTACAAATATGAAACTTATGAAATAACTGGCAGACATAAAACTTAACTTTTAATTAAACATAAGTTTACTGTAGTTACTATAGGATTCTGACGATGGTGTATAACACACAGAGATATTGGGTTTTCGGACTTTATCCATCGTCCTGGATTTTAAGATAACTAAGAAAAACACGACGTTTCGGAAACTGGATCTGTTTCCATCCTCAGGTGATGGAAAACACCTATTCTGTTGGGTCCCTTAGAAAGAGCTAGCCTCAATTACTGGACCCAATATCTCTATAAGTTTACTGGTTCTTCTTCTTTTTTGCAAACATAGGTTGCTTTTTCATATCTGTATAAGATTCTCCATAGAACACACTGCTAGCACTCCCTATTCTGTGGCATGAGACAAATTTACCTCTTTCAGATCTGCTGTTTTGCAAGTATGAATATGAACACAACTGGCTTCCTACCAGCGTAAGATGGCAACTCTCGTAATAAACTGAGAACGGAGAGAAAGAAGGGCGTAACGCCAAAGCAGTAATTGCCAATATAATTACTTACAGCCTGCATACTTCCACCATACAGATTCAGTTTTTTGACCTAGTTTCCTTATTTTGAAAAAAAAAAAAAAATAAAAGTAGTTTCATTAGATCACCGTGCTGTGCATCCCGCACATTAAATTTTGAATGCCTCAACCAGTCTTTATGAAACCTGATTTGTATATTGTGGCACTTGAGCCCATCTCATTGTCATACTTCAAAAATCCCTCCCATCAGTCTGCATGCAACGAAACCAGTAGAAGAGTTGTGCGCATCGTTTTATATGCGGTCCGTGTTGTATCACAGGAAAGTAGGTGGTTAGTTATTCCCAGAATTTCTTGTTTTTACATGTTATATATGTATACTGGTCTACATTTTGTCCTAAAATGACTTTTTTTTAATATACAGAATCAAGTTCAGTATAAATATGATGCAATGTATAGCTCAAATAGTCTGTGCCACCATGAATTTTTCCGTGAGGGGCGGGGGAGGAAATCTGCTTACAAACTTACATTTAAAGTAATACTATTTTTACTGGTCGCCCTACAGTATTTGGAATATAAGAATAATGTCCACATACTCTTTAATTTTTATTATTAATACTCACAATATTTCTTTTGCTTCAATTTTATTTTTTTCCCCAGAAATCCGGTGGGTGGGCTGATGCCTCAAATTATATTTCACTGCATGCTGTTCCATATTAAAAGAAAATTGTTATTATGCACAAATTAGATAACCATTTTTCTTGTCTGTCTATACCGAAAGCACTGGAGAAACCCAGTCTGGCAGTGACGACACATGCAAATAAAACTGACACTGACAGCATTAAAAACATATCAATTGCAACAAAATGAAGAATATTCCATGCTATAAAATATTTAACACAAATAGGTGTTCATAAAAATAATCAATTTAATTAAGCATTTCTCAATGTGTAAAATACATTTTTATTTTCAAATTTCATTGTCACACCATGAAACAATAATTCTTACATTCTACAAAACTGAAATACTGCAAGTATTCATGTTCACTGATGTTCAGTCCTTTGGGTAGAGAATTCTTAACCTTTCTCGTGGAATGTATTGTGCCCCATCAAAGTATTCAAATTTCTCTTTCGTTTCATGATGTCGAACCTGTTCAAAAACAACGTCCTATTAGCAAAATGTTAACCAAATATGCATACACATCTACTAGCTTTTGCTTTGCATGGGTATAAAACTTGGGTGTTTTACCTAAGAGAAATCACAGCCTAATGGTGTTTGACAACAAAGGGATGAGAATATTTGGACATAACAGCAACGAAGTATAGAAAAGGAGACTGGAGAAAACTAATATAGAGCTTAAAAAACACATACATCAACAGCATCTTCAAAATACAAGAACATTGACCCACTACATCATTAGAATTCCTGTTCAGCTCTCCATCTTGCAGCATTTTTAAAAACCTTGTTTAGAATGTGATATTTTCCAGTTCTACTAAAATGGTAAACTACTTCTTTTGTAATTTTGGAGTGTTTTATGCATACTGTACATTCCTGTTTCCAGGTATTATCCTTACCATTCTGTTTTGGCTTTGAACTGACATTCCTGCCAGAATTTCTAAACACACGTCTCTACCAATCTTTCTTCTCATACCTCTTAATGCCAACGTCCAGGTTTCTCTACTGTATGTCAAAGCTATGCCTGCCATATTCTTATAAAACTTTATATGAATTCCTTTCCATCTTCCTTCATACCTCTCAACATTAAACCAGTTCAGGTAAGCATCACTGGCTGATCACCACTGCTTCTGCTGCATCCCAGCAACAGTCCTACAACCGAAACCTATAAAACTTCTTAGACAGGTCTAAGTGCATGGGGAAACCCACCCTCTCCAATAACTAACTAACTAGACCTGTATTGGTCCACTGTGCTTCCCTCTATGATTTCTACCAGTCTCTATATCCTACCGGTATTGGTGCTTACCATCAGTCCCGCCCAGCCAGCGAGAATGGCTCTACTAGCTGAGAGGTATCTATAATGCTTCCCCCATCTACTGGAGGTATTAAGAGACTGCTGTTGGGCGGGAAACGTCCGTAATTTGGCTCAGTGACCTCCTTTGGAGATATGAGGTTCTTTTATGTGCCGTAAAGCTACGACACGGGACCCACGGCTTAAAGTCCTTCCCGGAGGACTTGTTCCCTGAATTTTTCCGCCCTTAAAAATTCTACGACCTCCGCCGGGTATTTGAACCCGCATACTACGAGTCATGAGGTGGGAATGTTACCTCTACACTATGGAGGCCGCAATTACTGCCATAAATCAGACCCCTAGTTTAGGGACTGAAGTTTCCTTATCACTGCTCCAAACAATACTCTTTTCATCTGTGTAATAACAATCATTTAGCTGCACAAATTAGAAGTGCCAAATTATACCAATATTATGAATAATGAACTGCACTGGATGTGGTCAGGGTTCAGTACTTGTCTGGAAGGACAGTGGGAAACAACAATAATAAACAAACAAGACAAATGAGTGGTTTACAGGCTGAAATTTCAACACAAGGTCTCATGAATATAAACCAAGGTTATTTATTGACCAACTCTGTGGTCTAGTGGTTAGAGTTTCTGGCTAAGGATCCAGAGGTCTGGGTTCAATCACCAGCGCTACTAGATTTTCTGATAAGTAGTGAGTCTGGAATGGGATCCACTCAGCCTCATGAGGATAATTGAGCTATTTCAAGGAAACAGCAGCTCCAGTCTAGAAAACTGAAATTAATGGCCATGGGGATTCGTTGCGCTCACCACGCGACACCCGCTATCCACTAAAGTTGGCACTAACTTCATTGACAAGCGGCAGTCACTCTGTTGGTATAGTTCGCTTGCAGACTAAAAACCATGGAGTCCTTCTCTGTTCTCTTCTTACAATTTCCAAAAAAAGCTCTGAACAGTAGTAATTAATGTACCTTTCAGCAAATACTTTAAATTACTATCAAAGAAGTGCAGTGTATGCTGCAGACGTAACACATCCCACAGGTACGACATACTTACTTCAGTGTTCTTCATAAGCTCCAGCTGTTTCTGAACAACATAAGTTACATGAGATCCTGTGATATCCCCTCCATCTACCAGAACTGCATAATGTGGCCAATTACGAAGAGCCTGGAAGGACCAAACATATCTTTCTTCTTAAACAAATCAGTGGTCTGCAGTTCTATGCTACACTGCTTCTGTCTCAGAGATTAACATGATTGTCATATCAGTATTACTGATGATAATTTGTATGGTGAAAAGGTACGGATTTAGAGGGAGATGGGTACGCTTTACTTCAGTGAATAATTCCAACATTTATGTGGACAGACCAAAGAAAACTACAAAACCAGTTCTCATCATCCATTACAATTGAGACAAGCAAGATTGATCACCCAGACTGAATAAGCTCTTGACCAGTTTGTACTCTCAGATCCTTCTATTCATCAGTCAAACATTGCAGAACAACCTAGTGCATATCTTCTGTTTTCCGAGATGTTCCATTAAGATTCTGCGAACTTTGAGTTCCTTTTCTTTCATTCAAAGTCATTTGATGATCGCTTGAATCAATTCCCAAAATGTTTGATCATATCAGGTGTTTGAACAGCTGATGGTCATCCACTGCATTTGCCATCTTCAAGATTTTCATTCCTGTCCCAAAATCTTACCATTAAAAAACACATGTCTGAGAGACAGCACTGTCATCCTATGCCTGTTTCATCAGCTGGAAAGTTTCAGTAGCTGTTTTGCCCATCTTGAACAAAAATTAATGTTCACTCTTCACTCCATCACTATCACGTGTCACAACAACCTGCACGGTACAAAAACTTAAACACAACCGTGCATGAGTGACAAGACAAAAGTGATTGACCTTGAACAGGAACACAACATGCTGAAACATGTTCATACATGCTTTTTAATGCATGTAAATGGACTCAGTCCTGGAATTTAAATGTCAAACCTTATGAATGCCCTAAAAATCAGACGAGGCTTAACTCTCTATCAGATATCAGTCACTAAGAGACAAGCATAAAATACAAAATTTTTGAGTGCTAAGGGACAGATGAGCAATTTACACAGCATTTCTAAGTGCNTAAATGGACTCAGTCCTGGAATTTAAATGTCAAACCTTATGAATGCTCTAAAAATCAGACTAGGCTTAACTCTCTATCAGATATCAGTCACTAAGAGACAAGCAAAAATACAAAATTTTTGAGTGCTAAGGGAAAGATGAGCAATTTACACAGCATTTCTAAGTGATCAAGCTAAGACACAAAATGAATATATTTTAAAACATTCAATCAAAAGATTACTTACCTTGCTACTGCCATACTGATGCTGCAGCCAACTTTCGGGAGCCTGAAAACATGAGAACTGCATCTTCATACAGTAGATCTCCACAGTTCAGAATATAACTAAATATAAGGAACGTCACATACAGTATAAGCAAAGGCTTTGATTTACATTATCTATATAATACTGTAAACTACAGACCCATTTCTAGGCAATGACTTAGAAACAAACAATGAAATAACATCTGCTGCTAGATCACACATTTTTAATAGCAAATATACGCAGCTGTTGCTGAGTAACGT